CTATAAGCCGAAGAGGCTAACCTTGACTATAAAAAATAAAAAAATAAAAAGTAAGTTACAACTTCAATTGCACTTGACTAAAATTAATCTCTGAAATTAGCTCATCTTGCATACATTATTTGGCAATTTTAAGGCATTTTCAAACCTCAACTTTGATGTGAATAACTAATGACCATACAATTTATATAAAATTTTTGTTGATAATTCGAATATGCAAATGATAATATAATTAAAGTTTTCTTAAGTATTATTCTTGAGGCAATTAGCCAATAAATTTGATAATGCACATTATTATAATCAATCAGAATAAAATTACAATTGATACTTGATTCATTACTATTTTTTTTATTTATCAAATGTTATTGTCATTAAGTTTAGGCCTTTGTCATGAATTGGTAGATTTTCCCAACAACTATTTATCTGACAACCATTTCACTGATGGCCATTTCGCCAACAGCCCATTTTCCCAAAACTATTTCCCAACAGCCCATTACCCCAACGGTTTATTCACTAGCCAACACTAACTATAAAGCGAGTCAACCCTAACCAAAAATCGGGCCAAATTATGAATTGTCGGGGAAATGGGCTATCGGGAAAATAGTTTTGATAGTTTTGGGAAAGTGGGCTGTTGGAAATAGGTTGTCTGTGAAATGACCATCAACGAAATGGGTGTCAGATAAATGGTTGTCCGGAATACCCTTCGTCAGTATTTGATGTTTGTAGAAATGATGAAATTATCTGCAAAATAGTAGCAATTTGTTTCCGATTAAAAAATGGTAAGCATCTATAGTTGTTTTTTCTGGTTCCATTCATTTCATCGACAATCAATTCACAGTACGATTTACTGACGGTACGATTCACCGACAAGTTTGCCAGAGAGACCACCAAAAGTACAGGCACATGATAAGACGCCACAGCTACTGCATAATTTCTTAGAAAATTGTTGAATCGTCTAGCTCCTTTGTTGCTATTAAACTTTCTTAAAATATGTAACAAAGCAATATACTGGCTATTAAGATATGGCTGTGGCGATAATTCAGATAATGTGACCATACTTTTGGTGGTCGCCCTGGCGAACTCATTTACCAACAAAGTAATTCTGGTTATTGTCGTTAGGGTCAGGTTAGAATTAGAGTTAAGGTTAGTGTAATTTATAAAAAAAACTTGTCGGTGAAACATATTGTCAGTGAATCGTACTATCGGTGAAATAAACTTGTTAGTGAATTGAATGTCAGTGAATCGTACTGTTGGTGAATTGATTTTCGGTGAAATGAACCGGAACCGTTTTTTTGGCCTTCTGATATTTCTTTATTTTTCATAAAAACTTTTAGTATGAATAAAAAAATAACGATTTAATTCGAGTTATTTGGTTTAAGCAGATTGAATAAAGTTAAACTACCTATTCGAAACGAAGTGGCATGTAATCGACAATTTCTAAGCCAGATCGACTAAACATCAAAAGAAATGAATAGAGTAAATCATTATCAAGTTGATATAAATAAGAACATCATTCTGAATGAAGCGGTATACACATACGCGTATGAATAGTTAAGTGTAATGAGCAGCGATGAGCAGCAAGCAATGCGTAGCAACGAGCGGCAATGAATAGTAATGAGCAGTAAGCGATGCGTAGGTAGCATTGAGCAACAATGAGCAATGAGCAGCAAGCAATGCGTAGCAATGAGCAACGTAAATAAAAACATCCATACAAAACATAGTTCCGTGTAAAATAAAAGACCCAATGTTTAAAGCAGTGCAGTCATATGATTTTGACTTTTTTAATTAAGTTAGGTTCGAGTGAGAATTAAGTTTTAAGGTAAAATGCCTCCCCGACATGTTTTGTTAATGCCCCGAGGTATGTTTAGACACTCATTTCTGGTATTTTTACGTTTTTTCACTTTTTTCTTTTTTTCATCGTCGGGTTGATCCGTGTTGATCAAAGCAAACAAGTTTGTTGGCCGTATGTCACGTGATAGTACCCTGCTTTAAACGATCCCGTCCTGTAGTTATAAGGTATCTAAATCGTTAGAAAAATTTTAACTATAAAAACTAACCGTTGATTGATTATCTACATAATAAAATTTAAATGTTAAATTAGTTGCAACTAAGTTGACAACTAATCGATTTGAAAATTTTGAACTGTAGTTATGTTTAATAATAAATAAATAATAAATATATAATACAGTACATAAGCTTATATAATAATTAATTATCAGATCACACAAACCAAATTCTTTTAATTGATAATAAAAATGAGACTTTCTATACCATTTAGACGTCCAATTCGTCTATCGAACAAATTTACTTTCCGAGGAAATTTTATTACGAGCGCAGTAATTAATCATGAGAATCCACTGGTATGAAGTGACTATTTTCTTTTCTTTTCTTTTTTTTTTTTTTTAATATCATATAACACATTCCTGGAAGTCGCATCTTTAATAATTTTCAAATTGGTAATTCTTCATTTACAGGGGACTTCTCAAAAAGAGACTCAAACCAAAAGGCAAATTGATATGGATTCTCGCATGCGTCGTGGCTTACCAACCAAAAGACCAATTCATGGTGTCGAGCATATAATCGCCGTAGCTTCAGGTAAAGGTGGTGTTGGTAAATCCACGTTGGCTAGTAAGTAGCTTGTTAAACATATCAATTTTATTGAACTATTCGTTCTCTTTAAATATAATGTTGCTTTTTGGTACAATAATGTTTTTTTTGTTGCAAAATTAAACCAGTAAATCTTGCGTTGGCAATTGCATCTTTTCGTCACCGCGTTGGTATCCTAGATGCAGATATATTTGGACCTTCTATACCTCGTTTATTAAATTTAAAAGCGGAACCTCAAACGAACGAAAAAGGTATTTGACTTTAACTATTAATATCCGTATTTAGCACTTCCTTCCTAAACGAATTCAATTTTTTATTAAGGAGAGTTGATTCCACTTGTAAACTTTGGAGTGAAAGCAATGTCTATGGGGTTTATTATAAGTGAAGATTCGCCAGTTGTATGGAGAGGACTTATGGGAAGTTTTTAATATTTGTAATCGGATTGACCAATCAAATTACTCATAAAATGTCCATCATATAGAAGATGCGGAAAATATTTTTTTTTCAAAAATTTAAACGAAGATATCTCGATAACCACCCAATAGTATTCGATGAAATTTTTTTTTATTTTAATTCTACGGATCCACAGAATCCACAGAATTGAAATAAAAAAAATTTTCATCGAAATCCAACATTTGGTTGTCGAGATAATTCAGTGTTGGGCTGACCAGACCAGTCTGACCAATTGACCAGACCAATTTGACCATTTGATCAGTCTGGTCAAAGAATTTGTATTGGTCAAATTGGTCAAATAGCATCTTTAAATATAATTTATTATATAACATATATATTATATTTATATAATAGACTTGACCAATTTGACCAGTCTGACCATTTGACCAATTTGACCAGACCAATTTGACCAGCAAATTTTTGCTTGACCATTGATTTACCCAACACTGTGAGATAATGTATCTTCGTTGAAGTTGAGTCAAGATTTAGAACGTCTATTAGAAGATGCGACAAATATTTTTCAAAACATTTAAACGAAAATATCTCGGCAACCACCAAATAGAATTCGATTAAAGTTTTTTATTTTAATTCTGTGGATCTGTAGAATTGAAATAAAAAAAATATTGAATTTCATCAGGTGGTTGTCGAGATATCTTGATTTAAAGTTAGAAAAGGTTTAATTGATGTAAATTTTATGATTGATTTATTGGTCAATTCAAATTTATGTACACAAACTATGTAAAAAAAATGCTGTATATAATTTTATCTTAACAATGTTTATGTAATTATATCTATTATGTCTATTAGTTCATTACATATTCAATATGACACCAATAGACTATTGCTGTTAGATTTTTGTATCAAAAGAAGTTAGTAAGGTATTAATAGGCATCAATCAGAATAATATTATTTTGATTGATGCTTATTGAGACCCTATTGATATTCTATTGGTGCCAAAATCTGGAATTCTATTGGCACACTATGTTAATTTTCTGTATTTAAATATGTATGTTAATATGTATATTTATTTAGGTGATGAAAGCACTTCAACAATTACTTCATCAAGTACAATGGGGTGGACTTGACTTATTAGTAATTGACATGCCCCCTGGAACTGGTGATACACAACTAACCATTAGTCAACAAGTTGTTTTAGATGGTAGCTTTCATATTACTTCATATGAGTACTGCCAAGAAAAAACCTGTCATCAGGCTTTCAATTAAATTTGTGTCCAGTTTGTTCTCTAAATTTCGTCTGGGAAACATCTATCATCGGGTTTTCAATTATATTTTGTGACGACTCATCACAAAATATAATTGAAAACCCGATGATAGATTTTTCCCAGACGACACTTAGAGAACAAACTGGACACAAATATAATTGAAAGCCTGATGACAGGTTTTTCCTTGGCAGCACTCATATGTTTATTGATTTTTAATATTTAATATACTTTGATGTCTTTTAGGTGTTGTAATTGTATCTACACCACAAGACATTGCTCTTGTAGATGCCAGGAAAGGTGCCAATATGTTTGCGAAAGTTAACGTTCCGGTAATGTTTATGAATATTTTCAAAATTTTGATTGAAATTTTAATATTAAAACATTTATAATTATAACTATTTATTATTTAGATTCTTGGGATGGTTCAAAATATGTCGATTTTTGTATGTCCGAATTGTCAGCATAAAGTTCACGTATTTGGTCAAAATGGAGTATTAAAAACATCTAAAGAAATGGGTTTAGATTATTTAGGTGATATACCATTAGATGCTGATATTTGTGAATTATCAGATTTTGGTACGCCTGTAGTTGTAACTAAACCTGATAGTTATAATGCGCAATGTTATAAAGAAATTGCAAAAAAGATAATGAATAAAATAGATTTAAAATATTAGTCTCTTTAGTAAAGTTCACACATCAGTTGTCAATTATTAAATTTTTGATCTTATTTTAGAATTCAATTATATTATGTAAGAATATAGAGTAATTAAAGAATGTGTTGTAACCTGAGAAGATTTTCTTGAACCAAAATGCTTAACATTCACGAATACTTGTAATTCTTAAAATTTTTCATATGCTTATACGTATTAGATATCAAGATAAACTAAATCAAAAAAGTATAAAGACAGTTCTTTACTTTAAAATTTAAAGTGTATTCTAAAAATTGTTACGTCTTCAAATGTCTACATCTATGATTATAATTTAAATTTGATTTAAATAATATTTATTTTGGTTTTTGATTAAATAATAGTATCTCAAGATCTAGTAATTAAATTTTAATAATTTTAGTATATATAATTTGAATTTTCTAATTAAGAAAATTCAAAATTATTAAGATAGATTACTAGATTTTGAACTATTATGATTTAATCAAAAATTAAAATAAATATTATAATGAAATTTAAATTAAGTAGATTTAGGTTAAGTTTAAATTTAAATTTAGTCTAATATTACAGTCAGGGTTATTTCCATATTTGGTATATCCAAATCTCACAATGATCTGCATTGTACGACAGTACAGAAATTTTCTAGAATTACGAATATCGCTAAAATCTGATTGGTTAAAATTTTTATTATAAAATGCAAAAAGCGAAAGAGCAAGAAGAGTGTTTGTTACTAGCCTTAAGCGTTTAGTTCTAGCCCTTAAATCTATCAAACCTTAACTTTAGCCTTTAGTCCAATTCGTTCAAATCCGAAGTTTATATATCCAAATGAATATTAACCGTAATTTGTATAAACCGCCCGTTGATCTCTAATTCTTGAACTTAAGAAGGCTTTGATGTCGAAAATTTACCAAGATCAAAGCTATTTTTTTTTTTAAAAAGGTTTCGTGTGTTCAACACTACAATTTAAACCTTTTATGTGGAACATGAAATAAGGTAAAATTAGAAGAATTATTAGGCGTTTAATAAGATAAGTATTGAAGAATGCATTACTGCATTAGCTCGTTTTACAGTATATTGTATTTTTAATGACAATGAAATTTATAATTTAGCTTTGAAGTTTCTCTTATAGTTAATAGTTACAGGGCTACAAAAAGAATCTTCAGAACATCTGAATGTAATAACTTTATCGAATAATGTTATCAAGAGCTTTAGAACGACGAAGACTAAGTACAATCAAACCTCTACAAGTGCACGCTCTTGGGATCAAAGTTTAACAACATGCACTTGGAGAATAATAAGAGAAGTGTATTTATAAGTTTATATATAGTTGTGCCAGAATTTGAGAGAGGGCGTGCACTTATAGAGAGTACACTTATAGAGATTTGGCTGTATTGTTTGATTTCTAATCGCTAAAGGTAGTAACAATAATTATTAATATAATTTCGAGTTATTGAGATTAGTAATTGATTATTTATTTATTTTAATTTTCTGATTCTATTTCATTTTCGAGTTCATTTTGATTATTATGCAAATCTCTAATACTTTGTAAAATTTCTAGCAACTCGGCATTAGTTTTTTGTGGCAATCCACGATAGCTTGGACGATCTGAAGTATTAATAGAATTTAGCAATGAATTAATAATTGCTAAAAGCTCTTTTTTAGTCATATTTTTTTCATCCATGGCTGCTGCTGCTTCCTGAGCAGTAATAGGTATTGGTCGAGGTGAGGAATTTGACTCGCTGCTTTTAAAAGTCTCATTAATAAGCTTTATTCACCTTTCGCATGCTAAATTACTGAAATTTTTCAGTTGTTCGCTAAGCAGATGTTCCCCTCCAAGACTCTTGAAAGTGCGATTATCATCTTGAGGATTCAAAAATCCAGCTTTACGTAAATTAACCCGAAATCGCTGTGATTCTAACGTATAATCTGGACGTATCCGACCTCCTGATGATTCATTATCCGCATGCCCGATCATATTAAATAATGTGCGACGTAGCTAATTATTATCAAGATATGTATTGTAAGTACAGGTGTAATCTTTCTTTTTTTTTAATGCAAATGCAATTTATTAACCTTTATAAACTTCATACAATTACGAGCCGCTATTTTCCAATGTTTTTGCGAAGGTACAGGTGGAATTAAGGCCTTTAAATATTTATTAACCTCCTCAAGAATAGCGTCAAGGCCTTGATGTTGGTTGCTATATCCTGATCGTGAAATAACTGAATATAATTCTATACACTGTTTAACCTCAGGATTTAACCGCATCAATTGTTCTTCATATGTTATTTCAAGTAAACGGTACATAGGGTGCCTACGACCAGACCATATCGGAGCAAATATGCGTCGAGCAGCACTTACCAACAATGGTCGATTATTTCTAATTCCCGTACGAAAATTGATGACTGCCTGGAGATAGGTAAATGTCTATAATAATTATTAGTCAAAGTTTCAAATATATTAATATTTTATTACTGTATTAAATGTCTTACTTGTTCGAATTTTAATTTATATATATGATCTTCTTGTTTTCGTGCCCAATCTAGATAGTTTTCAACTGAGGGATTTTCTGTCGCAGCTACGTATGGCCATAATAGCTCACATGTGACGGCATGTCGGTAAATATTACAAATAGAGTCCCACGATTTGTGATGATCAGCACACTTTTTAAAATACCCAAGTTGGTTTTCTGTTCTGTATCCTTGAAGAGAAGCGAATTGTTTGATATCAATCATCCTTAAGAAAAATAAAGAAAATAAGTTAAGTAATTTTTATATTAAAGGCATAATTCATATACTTTAGAAAGAAAGTACCAATTTAATTCTACGAATGCCTTGAGCATGTTCATCTCTTCGTGCAGGGCACCAGGAATCAATATAAGCCACGGAAAGTCTTTTTTAATCTTTTGAGCTAGAGTATAAGGAACGCCATCGCAAGTAATGGGTAGCCATTTTCGCTCTCCTTGGTTTATTTCCGCGATTTTTTGTATGTATTCTAGAACTTTTCTGACATTATCTATTGAATTAGGATTATATTCTAATGGATCTGGTACATACATTTCAGGAATAACAACATTATGCTCTGGATTCGACTGCTGTGTAATGCTAATACAATCAAAATTGGGCCGGTTTTGTTCGTGAGTAAATGTATAAGACTTTATTACGAGAGATTTTAATTGGGAGGCTGTATTAATTTGGGTCAACTCGTTAGCAGATTCTGCTTGTAAAACGGCCAATGTATCAAGTTTTTCATTGCAATTAGGGCAAGTACGTTTTTTATTATCGATGTTGGTTGTATTGCATTTTTTGCACCATTTAGAGTGACTCCCGGTGCCTTTTTGATTTTTTATGGTCATATCGATCGTATTGAATTTATCATTTTTTTCCACGACAAGCTCCTCTAAAATTGATGATAAGTATAATTTTAATTCCAATTCGTGTTCTGATTGCATTTCGGGTGCAATATAATATAACTTATCATATTGTTTATCAATTAGCGAATCACAAAGCCAAGGAGCAATTGTAAACTGAACACGATTATTTTTATTCATATTGAGTGCGATGAAACTTGTAACTGTGTGATATATAACTGTATTATAACCACGATCAAGATAATTATGTTGACCACGTTGCTCGTTATCGAAGGCTAAAAATAAGAGTCCTTTAGGTAAAGGTTCACTCTCAACTGCTAATGATTCTAGCCAACTAACGAATTTGGTATAACTCCTGGAACTGATTATATGGTTATCAATGTCGATAATTGTTTTAGATCGTGCGATCGAATATTTGATTCCGGTTATAGCTAGATTTATTTCTGATACATAGTTTTTATGCCTCGATCCATATATAGCATCAACAGCAGCTATTTTTTTAAAAATCTTTTCATTCGAAGTGTAACTATTACGGTTATTACTATCATTATGCGTAAGAGTATTAATAAAATTCACAAGAACTGAGTTATGATTAGCTAACCAATTATTAGGTGTAAAGTTTAATAAATTATTAAGTGAAAACTGTTGCCTATTTAAAATCAATAACTCAATATCTTCGTAAATGCTTTGGCGTTCCTGGTTGGCAATTTGAATTATAGCGTCAATTCTTTTTATTTGGTTACTATATCGGTTTTCCCATTTATATTTAAATGCAT